TGTAAATATAAATTAAATCTAAACTGAAATAAACCCCCCCCCCCCGAAATATTAGGTAAAAAATGTAAAACTTAAAAATTAGAAATGTTGCATTGGCAACTAAAATAAGTTTGAAATGATAAAATTACTAAAAAATAAATAAAACTGTAAATATAAATTAAATCTAAATAGAAATAAAAAAAAAATAGAAAAACTAGAACAGCACATAACAAAATTATTAAAACTTGACCTAAAATTAAAATGAAAATATAAAAATAAAAGCTAGTTCAAAATATTGATAAATAATATAATAGTATATAAATAATACTAAAGTAGCACTGCCCTGACATTTGTTAAAAATATCTAGAAATTAACAGTTTGAATTTATACTTAAATTAAAATTTTAATTATACTTTAATAAATTATAAATAAAATTTTTATAATTATTATTGATACTAATATATAATATTTTGGTGTTTTTAAAATCATTTTATAATATTTATAAAATATTATAATAGTGTAATATTTTATTTATACAGCACTTTTCACAGTGGACATTGTTTTAAATCAGCTACACAGAAAATCACTGCAGTAATGATGTAAGTTCTGTAAGGTCCTCATTTAGCACTTTAATTAAAAGACAATTACAGCTAAATATATATTTGTCCGTAAACCCCCAGGGAGCAAGTTAAAATCATTATGAAAGTCATTTTGCACGTGACCACATCCGAAGCCAGAACAGCAGTTTTCAGATAAACATTGAGGAAAAGCAGCGGCTCGTTAGCAGTTCAGGAGTCTGCTGTGAATTAATTAGCCTCTCATTAAATTCATTCAGACTGTCAATATCATACGCATTGGAGCGTTTTCCCTCTTTTCCCGTCTAACTTTAGCTTGGCTTTATTTTCATTTTCATCGGAGGCTCTCATTAACTGCTTAATTGGCCGTAACTCTTTGATTAGAGCGGTGAGATTGATTACCTGTGAATGAGGGCTTGTGTGAATTCTGAGGAAAACAGGTGACACCTAATGAGGGAAATTATGCTAAACCACAGATAAATCATCTCAAATGTGCTGTAAAAGACTATTAATATTCAGTAATATTATTGATTTAATGCACTGAGAACAACATTTGAGCTGAATAAAGACACTCACATTGCAACATTGATACTGTTATTGAACTGAATTGAATCAACATTAAATTGAATTGAGCTGAATAATGACACTTGATGATTTAATATTCGATTATTGTACTTTTCATGGACTCTTTCTTACATATTTATAGCATTACACACATTTCAAGATAAATTATGGTCCTTGAAACCGTGTTGTTATTGTTAAGTAAAACTCTTAAAAATTGTGTTTGGTAACGAAGCTGAAATAAAATACATTTTTTAATATTAGATAGAAAACAATCTTTATGTCAGAAATGTCTAGGAAAATTAGAAAGGAACTTAAATAAGTTTGTGCTGAAGTACTAAAATGAATACAACTGAAATAAAAAAAAATTTAATCTATATATATATATAAAAAAAACAAAAAACTTAAACTAATAAAAATTACAAAAGTACATAATAAAATTACAAAAATTTTAACTAAAATTTAAATGAAAACTGAAAATAAAAGCTAATTCAAAATATTAATAAATGATACTGAAATAACACTGCATTAAAAATGGTAAACGAGCTAGAAATTAAAAATTTCGAAAAATTAATTAAATAAATGAAAACTGAAAATAAAAGCTAATTCAAAATATTAATTAATGATACTGAAATAACACTGCATTAAAAATGGTAAACAAGAGCTAGAAATTAAAAATTTCGAAAAATTAATTTCAAAAATTTAGAAATTAATTGAATTTTTATTTTATTTTATTTAGTATTATTTCTGAATGGGTTAATGAAAGTGGATAATGACACTAACTAGATTCATAACTGATTTATTTTAAAACGTGAACACTTATTTTCCTGTTTATTCACGTGAAGCTGCTTTGAAATAACCTGTAAGGTTGAGTGTTAATAAAAAGAGCATTATTTTCATTTTGCTTTTAGTTTAAGAACTAAAATGTACAGTGTGATTTCCTACAATCCCTTATGTACTTTTTCGAGATGCCCTGATATTTTATATTTTTAATAATAAATAATAATGATAATAATAGATAATGTATTATTGTTGTTGTTTTAAATGAAAATAAAAATAATATATATTTTTTATAAATATTGTATATTAATATTATTAATATTTTATTGATATTTTTTGTGTGAAAGCTGAAATTATGGCCAATGCTATAAATCTAAACTATTCTGACCACTTCTTAAAGAGGAAAAAAGTATAAGATAATTAAAGAAAGGTTAATATTGGCCAGTGCTTGTCTGTTTTCTCATGTTAATGTTTCTGTGTGTTTTCAGGTGTGGTGTTTCACTACGGTTCTCCCGCGGCCCGTTATTCGCTGGCGTTCGCGGAGGCTATCCGCGCGTGTGAGGAGAATTCGGCTGAGGTCGCGACCCCCGAGCAGCTGTGGGCGGCGTTTCACTCCAGCATGAACAGCTGTGCGGCCGGATGGCTCAAAGACCAGAGCGTCAGGTGTTGCTCACGCTTCAGCCTTCACCGCCGTCATTTGGCTCAGAAGCATCGCTCGTGAAATCCCATGCATTTCTACAGTTAGTCTAGAGCAGGGTCCCTAATAGGCGGCCCGCGAGAGAAAAAAGTTTGGCCCGCGCTAATTTCAAATAATGTGGCATGAAAATTCAAACGCAGCATCAGAAAGCGACATTAACTTACATCATGTCTACACAGGATGCGAGCGGCGCAGCGCGACGCATCAAAATACAATAGAACCCATTATAATCAGTGATGCTGTCTACACTAGATGCGGCGCAGCGCATTCTATTTATGACGTGCTGACACAACGTTCAAATGATTTGCAATGCTTTGTGGCGTCCAGTGTAGATATACGATGAGACAGCAAAAACAAGTGTGAAGTAAAGAAAAGTGGACACGGAAAATAGATGACATTGTTGCTTTCACTATGGTTATAAAGATCACGCAAAATAATATTCAGACTCACATTAGACACTTTTAACATTGAATAAAGCACATAATCATTACTTGAGATTATCGCTGTCATATTTTGTATGTTGTTCCTGCCGCAACGTCGCAGAAGATAAAAACCGTTTCTAAAATAGATTTCCGTGTCACTTATTGTCACGTGTCGCTGTCGAATCTAAGAAATAAATAGATTATTAATTATTATAATTATTAATGATTATAAATAATAATTATTATTTAATGTATTAATATTATACATTACACAATGAATATAACAATAATAATAATAGTAATAATAATAATTAAAAATAAATTTAAGGTTAATTTTAAAAGAATTGTATAAATATTATGTATTAATATTACTTTTTTTTTGTATTGAGTCTACACACATGAAGCACATTTTGTGAGGTTCTTCTTGAAGGTCTGCTTCAGACATTTGTGAACTTCACCAACACTGAAAGATATGCTGTGATTGCTATAGTATTAAACTCCAGCCGTGAGCAGACAGACACCCTTCACCTCCAGCTATTATAAGGACCCTGTTATAATATTGCGGTGAAATTATTTATTAGCGTTTCCATAACAACACAGCTTTATTTACATACAGATATCTGGATTCAGCCAGTTCCCACAGTGCAGACGTTTCGTCCGATTCACACCCGTCTCCTCTCCGCAGGTATCCCGTACAGAGACCCGAGCTCGGTTGCTATGGACACGCAGAGTTTTCTCAAGGCGTGAGGAATTATGGGAAACGGGACCCTTTGGAATTGTTTGACGTTTACTGTTTTGCCAATGACATGCAAGGTAAGATTCCGGAAAACACGGAACATGGAAAAAGGGGATCAATCAAATGTTTCAAACCATAATAAATATTAATCAATAGTAGTAATATTCTGCTTGGTTGTGGTTTGAAACATTAAATAATTTAATTTAATTTAATTTAATTTAATTTAATTTAATTTAATTTAATTTAATTTAATTTAATTTAATTTAATTTAATTTAATTTAATTTAATTTAATTTAATTTAATTTAATTTAATTTAATTTAATTTAATTTAATTTAATTTAATTTAATTTAATTTAATTTAATTTAATTTAATTTAATTTAATTTAATTTAATTTAATTTAACTTAATTTAATTTAATTTTATTTAATTTTATTTAATGCTCTAGTAA